AGGGTACGTCAAATAAATCAACTCATAAATTCTAGAACTCAAGGAAACAGAAGAACAAGTTCGCAATGAGTAGTCACAATAGGGAATGCTAGTCATAATAAGAACAACTCAACAAAGAAGGAAATAATATGTAACAACGGCCCACAATGTATAGTTCAACAACAAGGGAACTAACACAAGTCGAATGATTCCAAATAAGGACAAGTCAACTAATATATAGGATATCTAAACTTCTTTTAAGGTCGGGCACAGAGGCGGCTCAATGGATTTAGGGGCTATATTAAGAGGCCTCTTAAATGTATTTCGTAAAATTTATATAATAATGAGACACATAAAAATTTACTTTTTGGTCTATTAATCCATCAAACTATGACTAAATAAAGTAGCTAAGTCAGAGACCGTGAGTTAAAGTCAAAAAATAAAATAGTAAAAAATATGAAAAGAAATGAGGAAGACAAAATACGCTAACTACTAAGAGAAAAGATTTATTGTTATTTTCTTACTCATCTTTATAACCTCAACAAAATAGATAAGTTGTTGAAACTTGAAATCTCATATTAATAATTATTATATAAAATTAAGTATATGTTATGCTTAATAATATAGTATACTCTTAGTAATATATTTGGGGGCCTTTAGTTTTGGGGGGCCTAAGGCAATGGCTTTAGTAGCCTTACCCTTCGGCTGCCCCTGGTCGGGCAATTACGAAAAAGACACAACAAAATCATTTAAGGATAAGTAGCAGAAAGATAATCATAGTCTCAATTAAGGATGAACAATTACAGAAGAGATAATTATAACTTCAAATAAAGATAAGCAGTTAAGGAAAATATAACATGATAATAGAAGAGATAATAATTTCAGTTAAAGCACAGATGAATCAAATAAGCAACAAGAGTGGATCATGAAGCAATTAACTCTAATTAAAGCAGGTAGAGGTGAAACCAGTAATTAAGAAACGTATTCATAACAAAACAACTGCATATCAGTTTTATACAAGAACCTAAGAACCCTAAAAGACCAACTTTTCACAAATAAATCCGAGCACGTACTCGTCAACTCGCGTACACGGACTACAATTAGCATAGAGACTCAATTCCTAAGGAGTAACTCTCCCACACGAAGTTAGGCAAGATACTTACCTCAAAGAAGACAGACAAATACTCAAAAATGAACTTCTCGGTGAAATGGCCTCCGGACGGCTCAAATCTAACCAAAATAACTTCAAAGCACAAATAAAACTCATAAGAAACTATTCTGNTTCAAAGCACAAATAAAACTCAGAAGAAACTATTCTGGATCATAAAGCCTCAATCTTTATCAAAATCTAAAAATCGACCCAAAAGTCGACCCCCCAGGCCCGCACCTCGGAGCCTGACAAATTTCACAAAACCCGAATACCCATTCCGATACGAGTTCAACTATACTAAAATTATCAAATTCCGATACCAATTCGTCCCTCAAGTCATGATTTTTTATTTTGAAAATTTTCTTCAAAAACCTTCATTTTTCTCAACTCAAAACACAAATTAAATAATAAAAATAAAGATAAAATCATGGAATATAATAAATTCTAGGTGAAGAACACTTATCCAATCGATTTTCTTAAAAACCCCACAAAGAATCTCCCAAAACCGAGGTCTAAAACACAAAATATGGAGAAAATGGCAAAACCCTTGAATATATATCTTTGCCCAGGACTTCCGCATCTGTGGACAAGTAAGCGCATATGCGCTATCGCATTTATGGGAAAATGTTCGCATCTGCGAACTTGACTTACCAAACCTAGGTCCGCATCTGCGGATAATATAGCCGCACCAGCGGCGCCGCAGAAGCGATAATAGCAGCGCAGAAGCGAACTCCTTCGCAGATGCGATCACTCAACCGCAGAAGCGGCCTTCGCACATGTGTGCCAGCATCCGCAAAAGCGAGCTAGCTCCCAGGACTCTATGATCACAGAAGCGATCAGGCTCACGCAGAAACGGAGCCGCACCAGTGCTCCAACATGTCGCAGGTGCGAGACACCGGAACTAGACCTGACCAAAACTATGAAAACCATCTGAAACTCGTCTGAAATACACCCGGGGACCTCGGGATCCCGTCCAAGCATACCAACAAGTTTCATACCCTAACAAGGACCCGTTCGAGGTTTCAAATCACATCAAACAACGTCGAAACTACGAATCGCACCATAATCAAACTTATGAATTTTCAAATCTTTCAACATTTAAAACTCGTGCCGAAACCTATCAAATCAATCCGGAACGATGTCAAATTTTGCAGGCAAGTCCCAAATAACATAACGGAGCTGTTCCAACTCTCGAAATCGCATTTCGACCCCGATATCACTAAAATCAACTATTGGTCAAACCTCTCCACCTTCCAAATTTTAACTTTTCCAACTTTCGCCGAAATGCTTTAAATCACCCTACGAACCTCCAAATCTAAATCTGGACGCACCCCTAAGTCCAAAATTACCATACGAAGCAGTTGAAATCGTCCAAAACCCATTCCGGAGCCGTTTATATAAAAGTCAAATTCCGGTCAACTCTTACCGCTTAATCTTCCAAAACTAGAATCCTTCTTCCGATTTGACTCCGAATCATCCGATAACTGAACTCGCCTAGGCACACAAGTCAATACACATAATACGAAGCTGCTTAAGACCTTATGCCGCCGAACAAGACTTAAATTCTCAAAACGACCGGCCGGATCGTTACAAAATTCTTATCAATTTATTCCCCGTCCTCTTTCATGATAACTCTATCACTTTTAGTATTTAGATTGATTAACATAAGAAAATCTGCATTTTTTCTAAATAAACTGCACAAATAAACACAAATGAATATACATTATTTCATTATTATATCATTTACATTTTTATATACTTTAGATATAACAATAATATTATACTCTATGAAATTATACAACTATCATGTACTCTGAATATACAATATTCATAAAATAAATATATGATACATTTTGAGTAATAAATTTAAAATACTCCGAATATATATCGTATATATTCATGGCATTGATAAATATAAATATATATATATATATATATATATATATATCATAATATTATATAAAAGTAATATTTAAATATACTTCATAATATACTTATTAAATAATTATTTATTATACCAGTTATATATAACGTATATAATAGGAGTAGTTATTTATTAGTTATTTATCCAAGTATGCATTATTATCCAAACATTCCCGTTTATCAATAAAAAATTATTTATACAAATGATAAAATGTGTATAACCACCATAATAGGTAGAGAGGGAAAGTAATAAAATCATCATTTATGACAAAATCATTTTAGAAGAAAAAGATAAAATCATCTGTTGAGTATTAAATTTGCTATTAAATGCTTAAGGAAACGTGTGACTTCCTTCCAATTGAATTATGATATATGTGCAAATATATAATTGCCAAAAATGTTAATTAAGTAATTATGCTAAGATCCTCTAAAAGTTTTCAAAATACTGCCCAGTAATGTTTTTTTTCCCAAAGTTTTGTAACTTTACTATGTGACCAGGAGGTCACGGGTTCGAGCCGCGGAAACAACCTCTTACAGAAATGCAAGGTATGATTGCGTATAATAGACCCTTGTATCTAATCCTTCCCCGGACCTTGCGCATAGCGGAAGCTTAAGACACTGAGCCATTTTTTTAACTTTACCAAGTGAATGTTAATCACGAACGCCAAAATAGAGTTTTTTCACTAAGTTATTACCCTTTGGACACCACAAAAAAAAGTGTCAAATATGCACTTTAAAGACCTATTCTTTTGAAACACTGGGCCATAGCATGAGATCACTACCATTAAACAAAGCAAAAGTGATTTTGTCTGACTCAGGATAATGTGGCAGGACTAAGGTAACTTGATGACTTGGGAAAGATTCATGAAATGTGACAAAAAGATGAGAAAAAGAAAAGGAAAAACTCAATTTCATGCATTTAAGGATTTGATTTAGTGGTCAATAAAATTAGTAAAAAATATGAAAAATTAGGGTTCAAATTTTTGAAAAGACAAAAAATCTATGTGATTTTTTCTCATCTGGAGAGATAATTACGGTCACTAGATCCTTCATACTCTTACTAAAATACAATATGTCTAAGTTTTGATGGGCAGAATAATTCCTATTAGTGGAATAGCAGGTATGCGCTAGCCCGGTACCTAGTGAATAGTCGAGGTGGTCCAGCAGGTACCTGCATGCTCGATATTTATGCTAGCAGACAATAGCATATATTTAGTAAAATAAGTTAAGGTGCGGGTAAGCTGGCTGACGGACATAACATATACCTGGTGAAATTGTTGAGACTGTCTAATACGTACGTTGTGACCAAAAAATTTGTAGGTAAACTTTATGGCTGAAAGAAAGATGAGAAAAAGAAAAAGGACAAAAAAAAAAAAAAAACTCCATGCATATAAGAATTTGGCCTACTGATTGATGAGATGAATTTAAAAAATGAAAAATTAGGGTTCAAATTCTGATATAGCCAAAAAATGGTTATGTGATTTTTTATTTGTCTAAATCTTGATGAGCAGAATTACTTGACTACTTATATTTAGGGATATAACAGGTACGTGCTAGCTTCGTACCTGCTAATAGATAGCAATAGATACGCGCAAGCCTCGTACCGGTGGACAATAGCATATATCTAGTGAAATAATCAAGATGCATGCAAGTTAGCTTGATGCACAATAGCAAATAGTTGGTGAAATAGCCGAGCTGGTACGTTTGCCCGATACTTGTGCTGGTAGATAGTATGAAATAGTCGAGGTGCAAGTAACCTAGCTCGAACACCCGTCAATTCCTGCAGACAAATCTTTAACGGTCAATAGTGCTTACTTTGGCGGGAGATAACTGTTGTTTAGGTGTGAACTGAATTTTGATTTTGGTGGGGTCACTCTTTATGGAATTTAATTTATGATAACCTTTCGGTGTTCATATTTTTTGGAGTATAGATTTCTCTATAGCCTATAAAAACCCATCCACACTCATTTGTCATTACTCTACACATCTTCTCTTATTCATAGACACCAAAGTCATCAAATTTTGCTACTTTGAAAATTCAGTTCCTTGCTATTAGAAAATAATTCATCTTTCTGAAGTTTTGACAATTTCTTGTGTCAATTTGAGGCATTTTAGCTTGTGGGGTTTTAAATTTTCTCTAGAATTAACTTCCTTTACTAATTTCCAAGAGTTTTATTTAGGGGCTAGGTGGGGTTTTGGCTAGAATATAAAGTTCTAAACTTCTTTTCCAAGAAAATGATTTTCTTGCTCCAGGGGAGCAATTTATTAAAATTTATCACAATTCTTGAATTCAGTGTAGCTAAAAGTTTTTATTTTTGGATCTTTTTGATTTTCAATAGGTATAGAGGCACTTAGTTGTCTTTGAGCCGAGGGCGGAAATAACCTCTCTATCGTCACAAGGTAGGGTAAGGTTTGCGTACACACTACCCTCCCCAGACTCCACGGGTGGGATTACACTGGGTTTGTTATTGTTGTTGTTGTTGTACAAAGGCACTTAGTTAAGTGACATTATTTCTGAATCTTTTCTATAGCTAGTTTTGGATATTTTCTTGATTTGGACTTGAGAAATTACTTAATGGAAGGAACATCATTACCTCCGGGATTTCGATTTCATCCAACTGATGAGGAATTGGTTGGATATTACCTGAAAAGGAAAACTGATGGACTTGAAATTGAATTGGAAGTCATTCCAGTAATAGACTTGTATAAATTTGATCCATGGGAACTTCCAGGTATACATTCTTGATAAGCATTTGGTCTTATCAGTTTACACGTATAATAAAAAGGATTTAACTTATATACACTGACAGTGTAAAGAATTTCTACACAATCAGTGTAATTTAACATGTTGTAATTGGTAACCTGCCTATTTCTTGTTACAAATCTCTCTTCTTTATGGATTAATACTTGTAGTTATCTTTTATGTGATCTGAACGAGTAAAATTCTTTTAAGTTATTAGTTTATAGAAGTTAAATTCTGATAAAAATGTTAACTCAGCATTGAGATAGAATGTGTTGAACAAATGATATCTTAATGGACATGTCATGTTCTCATGTATGTTTTCTCATTTGATTGGTTTTATTGGTGGGGTGAAAAGCTAATAAATAATGCTTTTTTGCAGCTTGATGATACTTTTGAACTGAAAATGTACTGAAAGTTGTTGCTTTATTGTCTAAATCAAAAGATGGAGTGTTCTGTGGGGCATCTCTTTTTTCATATTTGAAAGTTAATTATTGTTTAGTCTTTAAACCCTGACCACATATTAGAAGATGAAAAGCATGTCTAAAGCATTAGAAGTTTCTCAATATAATTGGTTCATGATTTGCTTACCTGAAATGGAAACTTTAGGATTCTGACATCTTGCAAAGGCAGATTTAGGATGGGTTCAGAATTTAATATTTGGTGAAGTTTTAGTAGTTTTAGTATTTTTTCACATTTATGTTTGTGTTTTGTGTCGAAAATATTGTGTTCAGTTGAACCAACAGAATATAGGCTCTATCGGCCTCTGAATCTTGTCCTAAAAAATGCAGAGAAATCGTTCCTGCCAAAGCGCGACATGGAATGGTTCTTCTTCTGCCCTCGGGATAAGAAGTACCCGAATGGCTCGCNGAATGTAGGCTCTATCGTCCTCTGACATCTTGTCCTAAAAAATGCAGAGAAATCGTTCCTGCCAAAGCGCGACATGGAATGGTTCTTCTTCTGTCCTCGGGATAAGAAGTATCCGAATGGCTCACGAACCAATCGAGCCACTAAGTGCGGATACTGGAAAGCGACAGGGAAAGACAGAAAAGTTGTCTGTCATCAGCCTGCAGTTGTTGGATACCGAAAGACACTAGTCTTCTATCGTGGAAGAGCTCCTCTTGGCGATAGAACGGATTGGGTAATGCACGAGTATCGCCTCTGTGATGATGTTTCTCAAGGCACTCCAAATTTCCAGGTTGATTCAACAAACTCAGTGTTCCTTCTTTAATTTAGCAAAATGCATGATTTCAAGAGCTTGATCATATTCTGCTATGTTGAATATGTTTAGGGGCCTTTCGCTCTTTGTCGTATCATCAAAAGAAACGATGCATCACTTAAGACAAGTGACACTTCAATAGCAGTCTCAAATGAACCTGTTGTTCTTACTGCTGAGACGCCTACTCAAACGACATATATGTGCAACGATAGCAACTATTCGACCCCTATTACTTCTCCTTATGAGGGGACTAATGCGACAAACTTTTGGATGTCACATGATATGATTCTTGATTCTTCAAAGGTATTGAGATTGGTATTTTTTCCTATGTACTACTGTCTGGTTTTTTCTTTGAACTTCGTATTGATTTTGTTGGCTGCATTGTAGGAATGTCCTCAAGGACAGAGTACTCGTGGAGACTATCCGAACTATGACTTTCCAAATATGACATTAGCGCAACCAAATGATCGATTGGAGTTCACCTCGAGTTCATCTTTCCCGAGTTTTAGAGGGGAAATTGAACTTTCTGGCGATCTCAGTAGCTATGGTTGTGTATCTCCTTACTCGGTTCATGGAAACTACACGGGATTCTATGGCAACGACGATATGTCCTATGAAGGTTATTATTATGATCAAGCCAACTCATTCATAAAATCCAAATCTTTTCTGACAAATGAAAAGGGAAAAACTAATGTAGTCTTCTCTGTCTTTACTGCAGGATATGAAGGTTGGAATCAAGCTAATATGGGAGATTTTAATGGTTTATGGTCGCACAAAGATAATTTTCAGTAATTTGATGAAAACATCTATAAGGAAGAGCTCAATGCAACTCAGTTTGTTTTGATAAACTCTATTGTTATCTGAGACAACAGATTTTTATGTTTGTCTCAGAGCCATTCGATTACAGCACGTCGAGTTTAGTTCCCAAGTTCAATCCTAGTAGCTAGGATGTTTTAGTACATTGTTGTCATATTAAGTATGAGATACCTAGTTTTGATCCTTTTTAATGATCACATTAAGAAATGGTCTTAGTTTGTAGCTGATTTCTGGTTCTGATTTGTATCACCCTTATGTTTCTGATACTTTCTATTTAAGCATTACAAGCACCAAATGTAGCCAAAATGTTGTGAACTATATGATGAACCAATGGCTTTACCAACTTTAAACAGTTCAAAATATCATAATGATATTCTTGCATAAATGGTAGAGCAACTTTACAAGGTTGAAATGAACATGTTATAATGTTGCAGGACTTGGTTTATAACTTCTATGATTCATCAGTAAAGCTATTGAACTTTTTAAGAAAATGTATATTGGTCTAACTCAATGTTAGACCACACAAATGGGAACCTAATATCAGATAAACCAAGAATTAAGATAGGTTTGACTCAAATTGATGAATCTTGGACATAACTCAACTTTAAAAGCTAGCTCAAGAGGTGACAATTACTTAGAATCATACAAGCAGACAACACGTCGAGACTCAAAACCTCTCTGTCTGGCCAAGACCGGACATTTGGAGCGTATACATCATAACATGGGGCCAGTATAAGCGACAACAAGAATTTGGTTCTTTTTACAAACTTGATGTCGATAAATCTACGGATCTTTTTAAGGACCTTCTTGAACTGTTTCCTTTAAGAACCAAAATATGTGCCAAAGTAACAGATGCGAAGTTTACTTCTGATACTATGTTAAGAAAATGGACTTCGGGTCTAACCCAACTTCAAAAACTAGCCTGTGAGATGATAAGATTACATTGGTCTGTTGATAAGATTACATCCAAATGTCCATTGATAGTAATTAGTACAATTTTATTGGCCTTTAAGCCGGAACTAACCAATGTCAAGCCCTGCATTTTAGGGTGGTTTTCATTGATTGCTAATCATACTACCAATTTGCAACATATCCGACCTATTGTTTTTTAGAATCTTGAACATGCAAAAGACTGTTCTTCAGTTCTTGTGCTAGTAATAATTCTAAGTAATTATGATAAAGAAACACATAAGTGTATAGCCGAACACTCAATAAAGTGGATGAAAACCATGAGATATCAATATTCAAATAACAATAGTGTAATCCTCCGGCGAAAGGGTGTCAATTGACTCCATTTGGATAAAGGTGGCTACTACTCCCTCCGTCCCAATTTATGTGGCGGATTTCGTATTTCGAGAGTCAAACGAGTTTTTCTTTGATCGCAATTTTTCATATGCCTTTTAAATATTTTGAATTGTTAATTATCGTGATTTATAGTACTTTCTATGTAGTTTCCAAATATATAAGTTTTGTTTTAAAAAACTTACAGATTCTATATCGAAATTTACGGTCAAAATTAAAAAGTATGACTCTCGAAAATCTGAACTCCCGCCACATAAAGAATCTATAGCATATGTTGTCAAAAAATTTCTATTATCTGGAGAAACAAAAGCCTAAGTAACTCACAAGCAAAGCCTAAAGAATCTGCACCCACAAATCTCAAATGTACAATTTCCCAATCAGCGTCTGCCTTTAACACATCAGATATGCTGCAGTAATATTTTTTCTTGCCTATATAACACATCAGAATCCTTGCATGGAATCAAGGTAACTTAACACACATTGTAGTTCAACGTACCAATCAAGAAACATGCAAAAACAATGTAAAAGAATTGTTCTCTGATCCTTTTTCTGAGAGAATCAACAGTTGCTGTTCTCTTTGAACACAATGTCAACAAAATGTTCTCCTACCTTTTTGTTCCTTCGGTGAGAAAATGACTAAAGAAGTGACACTAACATAAGCTTTAGAAAAGTGTAACTAAAAGCTCAAAATCCAATATCTCTAAAAGAAAAAAAAGAGAGAATAAATACTGCATAATTTACTGATTGTTCTTTGCAAATATTCCTCCGAGTTTAATAATGTAAAAGAATTTTTACACGGTTAGACTACCTAAATGATAACAACATGTAAATATCCATAGAAATCAAGGTTGTGGACCGGAAAATTCAGGGGCAGATTTAGGGGGTGAAAGGTGGTTCACCTGAACCCCTTCACTGGAAAATTACACTCTATATATAAGGCAAAATCTGTTTCCCACCTCTATATATTATATTTTGAATCTATATATGAGGTTAGTACTTCAATTACCGCTGGTCACAAACTGTTCTAATTTTTAACTTTTTTCATTTTTGAACCAACTTAACAAAAATTTTGCCTCCGCCAAATAAGATAGGTTATTTGTTACGACAAGTTAAAATATATCAATGTGTAAAAATCTATATACTGTAATACATTCCATATTCCTTCCTCCCACCAGTGGCGGAGCCACATTGAACCAAGGGGTGTCAACATCCCTTCGCCTGCAAATTATACTATTTTGATATTCTTGATGAAAATTCTGGATCCGCCGCTACCTCTCACCTTCTATTATTAGTCAGCGATAGCTACAGGTAACTTTGCCCATAAAATGTAGGACTACTGGTCTAGAAATAAGAATCAAAATAGTGTGTGGTCCTTTATCAGTGACAAATAATAGCGAAATAAGCTATATCGTCTTTATGTACTTGTGCTTTCTTTTATTTCCTCTTTTTGGCCTGTGCTTTTTAGCTTAAAGTAATGCTCCACTTTGTCATAATTGAGAAAATAGTATTTTGATAGTGACAACTGTATTGCACAGAATGGCAAAGGTACTTATCAGCTATGTTGTTCGGGCTCTTCTAAAATGTCGATGTGTGCGTGTCGGATCCTCCAAAAGTAATGCATTTTGGAGAATCCGACACGGATGCGACAGTTATTTTGGAGAGTCTGCATAACATAGCTTAGCAAGCTGAAAATGTAGCAATCCTAGAAAACAGAGTGACAAATTCAAATTTTAAAGACTAGAGGAAACAAAGTGACAAATTTAAAATATAAACATTGTAAGTTCTGAGTTGAGAGAGTCATGATTTTGAATGTATGTTTGATTATATTTTCTTTTATAAATGTCGTATTCGGGTCAGCTTGTGCACATCTCGACTAATTCTACGGAATACTGCTATCTGCCACCATCACAGATACCGAATAACTCTATCCATCAAGGCTTGAACAGATAGGAAAAGATCACCTAGTGTTTTTTACTCTTGTAGGATTTAAACCCGAGACCTCATGTTTCTCAACCCACTGCATTAACCGCTAAACTACACGCTTGAGTGCTTTATTTATATTTGTCTTTTTCCACACAGAAATAAGGTTCGACTTGAAATACTGGATTACATTGAACGCTCAAACCCATTTCGCCACTGTGCAAAGAGAAATCAACTCAATTAGGTCGTCCTGTTATAGTATTGTTGTTGAGGATTTTGCAATGAATTTGTAAAATATAAATAATTATTAGGCTGATAACAGTGCGAATGATAAAGGTTTAAGAAAGAAACAAGATTAAATTCTGCTTTATTTTATTCAAATTGAATAGGCTTTTTAGTTAAGTTGGAAATGATGTTATGTACCGGTCAAACATACAACAAATAAATTACTCGATATTTAACTAATATAATCCTTAATTGTTGACTTTCTCACATTTGGCTAAATTATCAAGATTGACAAATGAAGACAAATTCAAACTTAGCCTTGTGACAATTGAAATATATAAAACTTCTTTTCACTTCTCCTAAAAGAAGAGGAAACAAATATAAACTGTTACCTTATTATCCTACTAGGTAAAATATCGGTTAAGCCCGGATGATTCGGGTAACAAGTAACAAGCCCACTGGGCAACACCCGAACTAGAAAGGCTACGGCCCGTCTTAAAACGGCTTCGAGCCGCCAAACTTTGCGTACAAGTCATAAATCACAATACGAACCTATACCAAAGCTCAAAAATCCCAAACGGATATCGATAACACAAAAGTCCACTTCAAACAGAGCTATGAGGCTAGAAGACGATGCACATGTAGCTAGAAGACCACGAAAAATAAGTCCCCAGTTATCCATGTCATATTAGTTTTACATGAATTTTTCTCCTATATGGAAGCACAACTCAAAACACTTCAATACCCGAAAATGAGGCTTAAAACATAAGATTTACTCGAGAGACTTCTGTTTCACACTATACAGGTAAAAACATATCTGGACCTTAGTCACCCTATAAGCAGAACACCAAATATGGTGCTAGTTCGTCGATGTCAAAGAGTTCATTTAACTTTCACATGTACGATCAACACCATTTTGGTGAAGCACGCGAGGCAAGAAATGAACATTTTCATCTACATGGAGGCGAAGTTACTTTTAATTCTACAGCAAAATATTCAACATGGTACACAATGAATTTGATGCAAGGTGGCAAAGGATAAGATAGTTTTTCCATTTGAATGTTGAACGTCTGACTCAAAATCGGCCTGCCCGAATATCTCTGTCAATGTGATCTGCATTAAGGGTTCCTGGAAGTTCTCGAAAATCTTCATTGAATACAGAATACGCACTGCAAAGAACGAGAAGAATATTTGAGGGTAACTATATTTAGAAAAAATGACATACTACTATTTTTATGTGCTTTAGTAGTTGGACGATAGAACTCTAGAAAACAAAAACAAGACCACCAGATAATGTAGGTATGCCAATACTCGGATGGAGAAGCTTGGAGGGTGGTGGTTTAAGGAAAGTGTAGACTATCAAATGAGGAACTAACAGATCTTAAAGAAGATAAGGCTACAGCATTAAATGATCTGAACAGAAATTGTACTGAGACAAATTTATAAGGCAGTAAATGTGTATCTTAGTGGATCCAACGAAATCCATCTTCTCAGCACAGATTAAGAATAAATACATTCACAATACAGAAAAGCATACCAACTTAAAATTTTGAAGGTAAACAGAAGGAACAAAAGACATTTGTATCTTAAGGTTCATATTTCCACAAAATCACGTACCTAAGTTCTCCCTGCTGCCGGTGTCCAAGATTATAAAAAATAAGGCCAAACCCAGTTGCCAATAACTGCATCAAGTTACGAAAAGAATTATTAGTACTACTGTGTTCTTTTTCCAAAACCATACAGAAATTCTTCTCTGTGTATCGAATATGTTTAATCATTTTTAACTCCTTGTATACTAAATACTGAATAAAGTTTGGGCAATTCCAAAGCTGGTATCATGGTAACATAAGCAGCAATAAATAGCATAATTAATGTGACATTATCTTCCACGCAAACTTAAGTGCTTATCGAGGAATAGAAGTATCAGTTTCCGCAAAATGTCATTAGTTTTCTCCACTTGAATCACTTTAAAAAAAGCACAAAGAAGCCAGCATTATACGACAGAATTCGCAAAATGACAGTTCAGTCTACTGAAAGCTGACAGACACACAGGAAGCGACTCATAATAAGCTAACAGTAAGTCTGAGACTTTCTTTTCTATTTTAATTTGGTAAACCCCATCCTGAAAACCCCCTACCCCAAGATGCCAACAGTGGCTTTTTCCACTGCCCTGCCCCCCCTTTGTGACAAAAAAGGATCTGCCCCAATCAATATTTGTTATATAATCCTTCTTTCTATCTAACCATATAGAGCCCAAGGTATGCCCCTACCATATGTACATTCAGTCTACATTTTGGGATATTGTTCCGAAAAAATTACTGAGTCATAGCACAAATAGATCTGCCATATATATCACAGCAAATGACTGACAAAATAGCTGAACTTACAAATAAAGGTGCAACTTCATATCTTCGCGCAATAGATGCCAGAATAAACCAAGTCAAGATAATAACCCAAACCTTTGGACTGATGGAGAAAATTACCATCAAAAGCATATCTACAAACAAGTAAAAAGGGAACGGAACAGGTGAAGAGGAATGAGAAGATAGTTTTACGTTAACAATAAGAAATGTGAAAATAACTAGTCAGAGCATCACCTGGAAGTTTCAGTTTATCACGTAGTATATAAAAAATCTTCCTCTTCCACCTACTAGTTGATGGGGGTAACTGAAACCTCTGTTTATAGAAATGGGAACAATAATTTAAATAATTGCAAAATGAAAAAATGAATTAAAAAAAAAAGTATGCACATGGGAGCTGGATTCAAGTTTCAAAACAGACAACTGAATTTCCTATACATTTGTGGCATTTATTTACTACTCACCAGTTCATCATCATCGTCATCCTCAAATTCATCCCGAAAATGTTTAGGGGGTGGCTTTGGTTTGACAGCAACTATCAGAGAATCTACAAATTAATGAATTTCAACTTGTTATAATAGAGAAAGAAGTTTCGTTTTTTTTGGTAACAAGTTTCATTAATTATGATCATGTAGAATAATGATGAAAATGTGAAAGTGTAACGTCTTTTTTTCCTTTCTTCTTTAAAAGGGAAAGTGCAACATCATCCAGGGCCAAACATCATGCAAACTTTTTGATGATTGTGTGTAAAGTAGCCAAGACAAAGACTTATACCATTAGCACTTTTAAACCTTTTTTCTATAGCCGAGAATCTCAGAGGCAAGTGGTGCACGGTTCACGGCAGATAATGGGCCCACCCTCTACCCTATTCCAGTAAAGTACCAGGCTTTTGTCTTCAGTAGGGTTTAAACCCGTAACATGAACCTAACCCACAAATCAAGCACTCTTAACACTGCTAACCTCAAATACAGATTTCGTTGTTGGATCAAGATTTTCAGAAGTGCCACCAGATGCAGATTCAGAAGTGGACATAACCTTTGAACTAGTCTACTTTCTACCGCTTCTTAGGAAGTGCATAAAACCGAGTTGTTTCTCTTTAGGCTAGCAATGCTATATCATTACATTGGCAGAATCTAAAAATCCATAGGTTGGAGAAAATATAAGATACATACGATCTATTGCTGGCACAGTATGAAGCCTACAAGGAAGGTTGGGGCAATGAGGAGCCAGACGAGTATCCGCAAACTCATTACCCCAACGACTACCTTTATGACTGATCTGACCTTATAAAAGATACAAACTAATTTTGTTGCATATTGAAAACGCACCAAAATTGAGCCACCAATAAGAAAGCTAAGGAACATAGTGAGCAACCAACTAAAAACACAGCATCCAAAACTGTGAATGGGAGATTCAGACAGAAACGTAGCATGAAGCAGCCCAAGATACCAGTCAAAATCATGTAAGCAGAGTCGATATGCAACAAAAAGTGACAGTTCATTAGAATAGTTTGCATACTTATACATGTGTGCATTTCCTTACCCATTCCAGCCGCAAGAAGAAAAAAGAGATCAAAGATCATGATACCTCTATATCACGCATACATAAAGTCCTCCTACAAATAGTTATTACAGCATATGGATGCAAAATGATTATATCAAAATTTGATAATCAATAAAGTCGAAGAAAATTGGACCTCCGTTGTTGAGTTGGATTGCTATGTCATCTCCATTTTCATTGTCATGCAATACATGTCCTCGTAATACAAGTCTTAAATTTTCAATAGGCATATGTCGATTCCCAGCAATCATCTTTCTCAATTCATGTACCTGGATCCACAGAAAATGTCAAAGCACATTCAAAGCAACTCCATGGCTTTAAAATATACGCATCTAAAATGACAGCCAACAAGACAGGTCTAGACTATATCTTTTAGTGCATTCCTACAACTTTTTTAAATATGATTAGGGGAAAAAACAATATCTTTTAATGCGTTTGTTTGAGTTTTTGCAAAAACTGAAAAATCTGCCACCTTAGATATCAGCAATTTTTGCAATTCTAGATTCCAAATTCTTCTCTATGCAGAGTCTCCAACTCTCCCTAAACAGTTCTAGTTTATTGCTACTGTCACATGCCAAATCAGAAATAGCTTATTAGAAGTTAGAACTCATTTTAAATTAAAAAAATTGCTTATCAGAATACTACTGGGATCACTTGACATCTATGAAGGTTCAAACTCAAAAACCGACCTAGAATTACTCAGAGTTTTTCTTGACCACAAGGTGGCAGCCAAGTGACTTACTGCTATTGCCGTTAGGTTAAGCTTTCTAGCGTCCCACATAAATTCTCGGTTAATTTCAAAGTTATCTCATAATCAGACACTATTGTTTTCACAATGATTAGGAATCATTTGGGGGGTTTTCTGCAACTTGACCCAAGTTGTAAAGATGTAACAGGTGAAATGGGCGAGAATTTGTTTAAGATGGTCTGACCGCAAGATGCCAGGTAGGGTAACAATCAAGGACTGCGAAGGAATCTTGAAGATTCCAATGAAAATCTAGAAGAATTGTGAGTTGATGCCAGAAGTTATGCAAGCAGGTAGGAAAATCTTTAAGGCGAATCTGTTGACAGAGATGTGGTCTTTCAGATAGGCATTGTGATCGAGGACCGTAGGGACACGTGTCTAACAGAGTCTAATTCAAATTCTGGATGCAAACACTCCACACGGGCCACTTCACGCACGCCCAGGCTGGCTCAACTATGGCTATGAGAAGGGCAATTAATTTGGGCCAAGGCTAGTGTGGGAGGTCGGTTCAGTCCTGATTGATTAGGTATAGTACGTACCACAGCTGCCAGAGTTAATATTTACTTTTTAACGCCCCTTTGAGTTCAATAATTTTGACATGAAGTTCAAATCACTATCTTGCGACCTTTCTCCTTCCAACTATCAGAGCATTTACTAAGAAAACTTTGTCTGCACTACACTCCATCCCAAACTTCATAATTTGTACATTTTTAACAACCGTGGTTTCCGGGCCACATATGAACACAAAAAGTCTCCACCTTTCTGAAAAAGCTTACTCGTTGGAAAATCGATAAACAAACATGCATTCCTTAATGTGCCTTGAAATAGAAACATCAATACATCAATCCATTACATTCAATCAAAGTCTATTTCATTCTGGTACTTAATATTTTGTCTTTTGAAGCAAAATCACGAATTCTCTATATCTATTTTTATGGCGGCGATGTTCGGAACAGCTTGCGTGCACCTCGATTATTCCTCCGAATACCTGCTACCTCCCACTAGCACAGGTTTATAGTACTTTCTACCAGCACCACTACCAGGTAACTCTCGAGTAACTTTGACCATTGAGGATTAAGCAGGACGAAATCACCTAAGGTCTTTTTTGTCTCCGCTGGATTTGAACCTGAGTCCCAATTGTTCTCCTCTACTTCATTGACCATTACCCCACATGCTTGGATATACAAATACCTCAATTCAACTAGTAGATATCGCCTATATGTATCCTTTATTTCTTCAATTGCATTGTTGTGACCTTAGCTAAGCATGCATCAAATACTAGATTTAAAAAAAAAAGTCAAGTATCAACTGTACGATTAGAATTGAAATAAAACCTAGTTTTTTCTCAGTATAATTTGCATGAATTTCGAGAATACTTAGAGTACCTTAACAGAAGATGGGACATTAAGGCGACAAGGCGGAGAAGGACCGATAATTTTCAGGAAGATTTCCACCGTCTTCTTATGATCCTCCGGTTTGTTGCTGAAATCTCGATCAATTTCACCCATGGCGCCGTAACAAAACCTAATTCAATTGCAAAAATCTGAGGTTTTAGATAGTGTGATGCTATGCATACGATCACCGGCACCGGAAATTCGATCTCCAGTCAAAACTCCGAACTGTTTACTGGACGGCTTTGTAAAACGGGTTCACTTTTATGATTATTCAATACGAAGTTGAAACAAAAATTTGGGGAACATGTATTTATCGACGTGGATTAAGGATTATTTTTATAAATCGAAATTCAATTTTCTGAGTGGCATAGCGATTTTGATCCCTTGCTAAATTCTAGTTTTTGACTTTTTGTTAGTGATTTATGATTAAGAATATTTAATTTTTAATTAATTAAAACGTGTATTTTTCCGTGGGCTGATTGAGTACAAATGATTGTAGATTAGGGTGTGTCCCATTTTCACCATTTAGATGCACAAAATAATTCGAAAAATATTTTCCTAGATATCAAATCACATTTTCCTGAAATTGAAAAAAATGACTTTCTAGAATAACTTAGTAAAATATTTTTCAAAAACTCCATATACCTTCACATCTAACCCTAACCGCTCCAACTTCAATTTTTTGTTTTTTTTCGTTTTTTATGCCACCCACCCCAACCCCGATTTTTCAAAAACTCAATATACCCTCACATCTAACCCTAACCGCTCCAACTTTAATTTTTTGTTTTTTTTGTTTTTTATG